GTCTGAAGTCTTGGAGATAGAGTTTTGATTAAAACACTTTCGATCGCGAAGGTCTTATATGTTTTCCTAGCTTGTTACACAATTACCTCATAAGCTATTTAAAAAAACGTCGACGACAAAGGGTTTTCTATTTCATCACGACGTCAGAGATCACGCAATGGGTAGGCCTGGATCAGTTATCAGAGTGCTCTGCAGTATTTTTCATTCTTAAATGTTATCCGAATAGGGATAATGAAGAATAAAGCGACTCATTAAATGCGTCTTTAGTTTTGAGTGATACAGCTTTTGCACGGATTCTGCTCCTACCCTGCTGCCAAAATTATCGTTCACATCAGTGCTGTCAGATGATCACAAGATCACGAAACACTTTGAGGGCCGGGAAAGTGACGATCCGTCAGACAACGTGGGCTCAAATATTGGTATTCAGTCTATGATCCAGAAGATTATATGTCAGAATTCCCCCCTTAAGCCAGATCAGAAAGGATATATGGTAGTGCGATTTTAATATTGGAGTGATTTTACTTGAACCGTGAAATAGGTAGTAGAATGCTAGCACCATTATGCACTAATTCTATTGTCGTCTTTTGTTTACCTCTTGCTATTTTGCACTATTTGTTAGTATCTGTTTCACCATGTTTCACGGTTCAAGTAAAATCACTCTACCTCTTAGTGATAATTGTATCAAGACAAAATATTCAAAATATGCAGTATCATTGTTGCTTTCTGTGTAAACCTCAGCCTCGTCCCCAGTTTGGTTTTGACGTCACCCGTCAAGCGTGTCGACTCAATCGCATCTTAATTTCACGATGACATTTAATTACAACCACAAGATATTCATCTCGTTCTTGCTTTCTGATTGAAATTTTTCAATCCTGCTGAGCTTCGAAAAACAATGAACCTAAATAACTGGCAAAAGAAAAAAACTTAAAGGATTGTAGTAAAATGACGTCATCATGCAAGTGTCTTATTTGTCTGGGAACGAGGCTGGTCATTTGCTATCTCGTCAGTATATTGCAACATTCTCTGTCGAATGATAAAACCTAGTCAGCTGCCTAGTTTTTCGGATACACAAGCAGAAGCGGAAACAAAGCGTAAGAACGAGCATTATGATTGGTTTATCCTTCTGCTTGTGCTGCCGACAGTCTCGATTTGACTTAAATCGTAAGCGAAGGAGTCATAGTTGGAGTCAGAAGAAAATGGAAATGTTCTAGTTCGTCCGTCTCCGATTCCGTTGAACTTACGACTCCGCTTTCAAATACTACTGTTCATTTTCCCTAGGTCATAAGCGCTCTTAACTGATCCCCGACTATGTCTCTTGTGAAAACCAACCCTCACCGGCACTGCATGTGAAGTTTACTCCTACAAACCTTAACCCTGAACAGGCTAACCGAAATGTTGTACAACGACTATACTTGCGGATTAGCCTAACAGGCGCTTCATAAGCCAAGCGAGGCAAACGCGGCATTTTGCGCGCGCTCGTCTCGCGCTTCGCGCAAAATGGCTTGGCTCATAAAGCAACTGTTATGCAGGTTACTAGCGGATATGCTGTTTTGATTATCAGTCAAGGAGTATTTTTTTCTACGTAGAATTTTGGACCACAGGTGATCTTCGTCTCAAGCCTGCCTGTCTGCTCTTTGTCCTTCTTCCCAATATTTGAATGTCTGTTTCACAGCCGTTCTTTGTGTCGTCACGCGACGCTCTTCCCCAGCGTTTGTAAGGAGGGACGTTGCGTGACGACACAAAGAACGGCTCTGGAGCAGACCATTAGAACCGGTGGCTATTCTAGATCCAAGAGTAAAACACGACAGACGTAATATAAATAGTAAACTATAAAATGATTAAGGGATAAAAGATTATTTAGGATGAGGGAGGTAACTACATGCATGCAACCTCGTCCCCAGGCCCCAGGGAAAAGCGCCCTGGGGACGAAGTGACATGCATGGCCTGACTGGATGACACACGAAAACTGATTGAAAAGAAAAGCCTAAATTTTTCGAGATGAAGAATATTGGGATACCTCCTTTAAAAACGAAACAAAAAAGACTTAAATTGATCCATCAGTCACAATAGATAAAAACTTTTTCCTAATTCTCTACTAACCTTGTCCGCCAACCTTGTTCGCTTTGAGCCAGCGAGCGAGTCAGCGACCCAGTTTCTATTTTCACAAAGTGACTAGACAACTTGTTTGGGCATATTTTCTTTATTATTTTTTTAAATTAGGAATTAAGGGTTAGATTATGAACAGAAGCTTTTGGAGGCTGCTAGGCAATCTTCATCCTGCTTTAAAATTCAACTGAAGATTGCAAGTATGCTTTACAGTATACAGTTTTTTACATCTATTTTGTAGGCCAAGTCAGGAACTGCTGGCCAAATTCAGTCTTCCTACTTCCTTTTAATGGGTTTAACGGAAGAAAATTCGTGCAACCACAACTGAAAGCTTTGGCTTTCACGCCACGACAATAATCAGTCTGAACTGACGGAAGAACTTCAAACTTCTTATGTACAAATTCCTCGCTCTAAGCTACGTTGCAGCCAAGATCCTGCAAGGTCATTATCGCAGAAGTCAATCGTAAGACTATAACTATAATGAAAGGTGTTTTCCAGTAAACGTAGTTTTCTTACTTCCGTTATGACGTATCTATTCAAAAGCAAAACAGAAAGTGTCTTGGCAAGTTTCTAAAGTAAGCCTAAGGCCTGGTTTGGACTCCGAACTTTTCATGAGCCGAACCTATAGATCGAATTAAGGCTGACCCAAATTATTTAGAATGGCTGAATTGACTCAGACGCCGATCTTAATTCCAGCTGAACTAAGATCAAAAGGCGAAAAATGCTAATTTCAGTCAAACTGGGTACAAAATACGTTATAATTACAATTTATACATTGGGTTCGGTACATGAAAAGTTCGGCGTCTGAATCAAAGCCGTTCGAAAGTCGCTCCAAAGGCGAATTTCCCGGCCGTGCTAGGCGAAAAAAATGGCTGAGTCGATCCAAATTGAAACAAGGGTTCCTAACTGATTCAGACGCCGAACTTTTCATGTACTTAATTCAATGTATATTAGGTTCGGCTCATGAAAAGTTCGGCGTCTGAAACGGGCCTAACAGGAACGTCACAATAACTGGCAGTTCCCTTAAACGTACTAGTGTTTTTGTTGGTGACTATTTCGCTCGTGATTGACATAAAAAAGTGTATCAATAACCACCACTAAGCTAATGTTAACAATCAAAGGGAAAGATTTCGCCAAAAGTGAATAAGATTTATATTGTATATGTTTTTTCAAAATTTGAAAGTGAATCAGTACCAAACTAGGTTAATAAAGCCCGTGAAAATGAGGGCAAGAAAATGCAACGGAGGACGTCAGAGCGTGCCAAAATCACCGGATGAAGGCATTTATGACGTCCTCTTAATCACTGAAGTTGAAACCAAATGGTGGATTGGCAAATAGTCTCACGTAATTTAGTTTCAGCTTCGTGACAGTTGGCAGTTGTGAGTATTATATAAACTGGTCTCTTCAAAAGAGTTTTGCTCCCGAACGAAGTCGCTTGGCAGGCATGAAGGCGCCTCTCATTTGCAGTCTATTTGTTGTGAGTTTTCTCAGCTCAAGTGTGTCAAATTCTTCTAGGCAAGGTTAGTATTACAATGTATGAGAACCGAAAATACATAACTAACTGCCCTAACAGTTAAGAAAAAGGAACAATAATGTTTATTAGGCTTTCAGCGCAGCTGGATCGGAATAATGGCTACAGGCAAAAAGTCCTCAGAGAACCGGGAAGCAAAATATTCGTTTCTCCAAATAGATGAGGAAACTAAACTAAACGTAATTCAGATTTGGAGCCATTTATTGCTTAAAAGAAAATCTAGTTATGAACTTGACAACTGAATCTTTCCATGCAGATTCAGACTATCGTTTTTGTTAAGAAAGCCTTAAAAACTAGTACGTGCTCCGCCATTTGTTGAAGGCTGAAACCTTTGACGAATGTTTTTGACAGTGTGTTTGAAGCAATTAAAGTGAAAGGTAAAGTTGAGCTGTATGATATGGTTATTGCCTTCTCCTAATAGAAAATGAAGTCTAAATTAGCGTCGGAAGATTTTTAGACCAGTGGGTTTTCTCTACGATAAGTAAAACTAAGAAGAAAATGCCGTTGAAAAGGTTGAAACCAAATGCTGAAATGAAACATCGGTAAATCTCTCATTCTGTTCAGCAAAAAATAAAAAAAGTAAATATTCAGAGGAACTCCTGGAGGGAGACTTAACTTAAATTGAAGAACTATCTTAATGAGGTATATATCAACGTTATTTGTTTTCTTAGCATAACCGACTGAAAAGGATGCTCTTTGAAATGGTCATTCCACCTGTAGGCCTACAGATACAAAGCTACTCAAGTGTGTTACAGCAAGGAGCTCAAAAGTGTGACCACTTTTGATTTATTCACGTTCTTTCGTACAGATTTAATCCAATCAAAAGCCAGCTGGAAACTGTCCTCGACTTCTGATTGGTCATTGTCTGCATGAAAAAATGTGAGTCTATAAAGGAAGTCAAACTTTTGGGCTCCTTGCTCGGTAAGGCTTGGATTTTCTAATGCAGAGGACCCCAGAGGAGTCTTAAGAAATGATGCTTGCAGATCGTAAGAATAGGTTTGTTTCAGTCGTGAAACTGAGAGGAATTAACATTCGACGTGTTTGATCGAATAAAAGTGTTATACACAGTCACGTGATTTCCTACTCCTGATGACGTCACAAAACGTGTTTTTTCAAATGGGGTACATTTGCAAATTAAAAATTCGAAACTTTTCGATGTCAAAGTGGCCTTAATACCATTCTCAACACGGTCTCGCCTTTTAACGCAGAATTCATTCTATCCCTTATCAGTTATTTGTGTATTTGTTAAGTAAAGTGACCTGTTTTACTCAATTGACGGTTTCCGGTAACACATAGACATGACTAAAAGGCGGTAGGAGCCATATATGATAAGGTCAATACAGTACAGTTTGATTAAGTATTG